GTTGAGGTGACTGTGACTTTGTTATATATATATATATATATATATATATATATATATATATATATATATAACGTATTATCAACGTTATGATTCAACGTTGTTTTAACGTTAAAACAACATAATTTGCCCGCTGGGATGACATTCAACTGCAGATTCACTGCTGAGCAGTTCTTTTTGATTGAGGGAAATCGTACACTGATGCTGTTCTTCAGAGTCACTGTTGACGCCCGATTCACAGTGACTCTGACACTCAGGGCACACAAGGATAGATCGATCTAAAATATATGGGAATGGGGTCTAAGTGTCTGTGTATATTCTTGTTGGTTTGTCTGTCCGCCTTCGCTGTCCAAAATGTACTTTTTGCCCCATAACTGCCAATTTTTATTTTACTTTGAATTTACTGATCGGTTTTGTTTGGTAAAGATGCTGATTTCTTTCCCAAATGGCATGACCGGTTTTCATTTACAGTAATTTCTTTTTTTTTTTTTTTGCACAATTTTGTCCTGTGGACACTAAGTCCTGGGAATGCCTGTCCTAAGTCTGCCATTCCTAGGAAAGGGATCGTAAAAACGACGACAAATGTAGATTAGATTGAGGTCTTCATTTTATTTCCAATGACTAAAAATGATATCAGATTTGCACCATTCACTGCGCCTTTAAAACATTGACCTCTTCCAGTTACATAAATACCTTTTTTTGTTAGACCGCGCACCAAATGCAACTGTATGTGTGGTATGCCCAGCCATAACATGGATTTTGTCTCGTGCTGCCTTAAGATTTTTCCACGATCTACGTAGGGTAAAAGGTTATGTTTGACAGGATTAAAATTGCGTGTTTTCAAAACAGGACATATAACGTTTCTTAAAACTGGCATCTTCATCATCATCCTTAATACAAATTCTTTAAGTACTTTCTATTATTTAATCTCAAATGAAAAGAATTTTGGCCAAATTGATTAAATTATCATCAAAGATACAGGGGATATAGCATAAGTTAAAATATTCATCATATATATATATATATATATATATATATATATATATATATATATATATATAAACCCCCACAATGAAACCGGTCGAGGTAAAATAACTGCTGTTCTTTTTTTTTCTTTTTATCATGTGTGTGTATGTGTGTGTGTGTGTGTTGCCTAAATTATTACAATTATTACAATTATAGATTTGAAAAAGCTTTTGATTGGGCATTGTAACTTTTTCTTCACCAAAGTCTCAATTTCTTTAATTGCGCACCGTAGCCTACCAATTTATATTTTAAAACATGATCCTGTTACATCGAGTATAGTCAAGGATGTTACCTGTCATTGATATTAAGTCCGGGTTGAGGGTGTGGTCATGCATGCAGGTATACCCAATATAATAGGTACGTCTACCACGTAAAAAATTGCTTGACGTTATTGGGGGATTTTTCTTTCTTTCCTCCTTCTCTTATGGTGCTTCCAAACTCGATAATACAAGTCTGGGATCCAGAGAAGTAACGTAAAAAACACAAAACTTCACATCATTGTTTCAGAAAACGTCCGGGTTTTAATCTGCTTCTCCCCACAGGTTATCGTACTGTTTATTGTCCCAAGTCATTGGATAACCCGTGTCATTTTCTTTTTTAATAAAAAACACCAGTACTGATCTCTGCATCTCTTAGCGCGTATAGTTAGGGAAAGAGTTGCGGAAACAAACACGCCAATGCCACAAGCAAATTAAGTACCCAAGGCATTTGACGGGCGCATCCCCTGCTACAGACAAACGTGCCGTGTCCAAATGTAGAAGTAGCCGGCAATGCTGCGTCAGAGACGTTCCCGGATGTGCGATTGGACACGACGCTTGCATCAAAAGGTATGTTGCCAATGGACAGCTGGCTGCCAATGTCTTGAATATAACCCGCGACTCGTTCTTCAAATCGTTCGAACCAACGCAGGCCATCAGGGATGTGGGGGACAGGTTTCACCAGTTTAACTGGTACACGAACAAGGGTGTATTCTCCATGGAACGACGGAGTGCCACATCCTGTTTGTGAGCCTAAGTCAAAACCATACTTCCCTTCGTGTAAGGGGTCGATATAGAGAGAGGACTGGGTCGTGAATAAACTGTCCGAAACGCATTCTTTGAACAAGACGGCCCAGTCTTGCCAGCTTTGTTTTGGGGTGAGTTTCAGGGTAAGAAGGAACAGCATGTTGACGAAGCCAGTCAGGGGTAACGAACATCCCGGGTCATTCTCCTGGCATGAATGCTGTTGGCACGATTTCTAAAAACAAAAGTCAAAAATGTGAATTAACATAACGCATAAATCTAAAGACATACATGTAGGCCTACATTGTGTTATAGACCTTTATGATGATAAAAAATCTACGCAGTTTAAGCTTTTTCTACTACATCACAATGGTATCCCCAATACAATGATAAAATAGAATTTTCCAAACTGTTTGCAGTGTAAATTTCTGCACATATATCGTTATACGGAAACGATTGTCTGTTCCCACCTTCATTAATGACTGTAATTCTGTATTGAATTTTCCATAAAAATTCACTATTTGCTGCGTAAAGGTATAGCGCTCAGATCTATTACCTTTAACAGAAAGTGTAAAGGGATAACAACTTTTTCTTTAAAATTCAATATTTCACAATAAAAACATTGTAGACAACACATAAATTCCTTTTAACCAATAAAACGGTTATCGCAATTATTCTGAAATCTGTGCTTGCCGTCGGACCACGTGGACCTGTATGCATGGTTACCTTTCTTAATACATTATTTCGATCTAAAAAATCACAGTTTAAAGAAAAAAAAAAAAAAAAAACAAACAAACAAACAATTGCAATCGACTAACTTTATATACCGAAAGTAATTCATTAAAATCGGAAAATATGGGAAAATGGTCGTTTACCCCAGAAAAATAGTTTTTTCAGCATTTTTCCTTTCTCAGCGAAATAAAGAGTTGTTATCCATTTAACCCTCAATCACCTTTCAGGGGCCTCGCAGGCCCGGACCCATGTATCTTTTGCTCTCTCTTCGTTTGCATGAGGTTTTGAGCCTGTTCCTTTCATGTAATCCTCAAGCAACTTATACCCCATCAGTGGATAAATAATTAGTTTTGAAATGATTTACAACATATGTAGAAATTAACTTTTCCAAAAGTTAGTCCCATTTCCTGGAAACCGGGCCTCTTAGGCCCGGTCGCTTGATAATTTTACTTCCACATGGGATAAATAAGTCCATGTTACCTCAAATAGCTTTGCTATAAAATGTTTTACACAAGCAATATCATGTGTGCTATGACTATCAGTATGGTCAATGAAATCTGCCTGTGAAAGATTCAAGACCTGGAGAAATTATTATTTATGAGTAATCGGTCACCTGATATGCAGATATCAGTTTAAATCTATCATTATTAGATACCTGATAGACTGCGCTACCTTTGCGAAACTTTCCATTTTGAGAAAAAAAAAACATTTTTCCGCATTTTCCATACACAGTGTATACTCATGCACCCAGGTGGAGGTAAAGGGAGCAAGGGACTGGTGTAACATGAAAATCTGACTCCCCCAGTCAGATTTTCATAATGAAAATCTGACTCCCCATGAAAATTTGACTCCCCCACCACAAATGTTCATAAATCTTATTTTATTTGAGTATATGACTGTGATATTGTAGTATGTAAAATGGAGGATACTTTGGCACTTTTTTTTAAGTTTGCAGGTGAATATTTTCATGAAAAAAATATGAAAATTAAAAATTGTGCACTTAACCGCCCATTGTCTCCCCTTTGAAAAAGCTATTTATTTGATATTGGATGATCATTTCTACATCTTTCCTTTAAATTTACTTTATGAAGATTATATTGGAAATATTTGAAAGTTTGATGGTAAACTATTGGGTGAAAAAACTAAAAAAAAAAATGAAAAATAGAAAATTAAAAATGTGCATTTTATCACCCAATAACTCCCCTATGAAAAAGCTATTTATTTGATATTTGATGATCATTCTGACATCTTTTCTATTAGGATACTTTATGAAAAATATATTGGAAATATTTAAAAGTTTGATGATAAAATAGTGAGTGAAAGAATGAAAAATAAATCATGAAAATCTTCATTTTTATACCCATGAGATTTGGATTCCCATAAAGAAAAGGACCTATTTTATATTCAGTCACCATACCATTGTTTTCTACATAGTTTGCACAGAGATGTACATTTTGTTATTATTTGAAAGTTTGGTGGTGAAAATTTTGGTGAATATTTTTAAAACAAGTATTCATCTTACTACCTGTAGGTTTTGCACTTCCATGTCAAAATGCTACATTTTTAACTCAAGAAATTGGCCCCATCGCCTTTTTACTGAATTCTTCTTATATAGCATACCCAGTATTTTACCATTCAAACTTTCAAATATTTCCAATATATTCTTCATTAAGTATCCTTAAAGAAAAGATGTCAGAATGATCATCAAATATCAAATAGATAGCCTTTTCATAGGGGAGTCATTGGGTGTTAGAATACAAATCTTTAATTTTTCTTATTTTTCATGTGTTTTTTTTTTATTTTTTTCACCCAATTTTTTAACCATTAAACTTTCAAGTACTTTCAATATATTCCTCATAAAGTATCCTCAAAGAAAAGATGTTGAAATGGTAATCAAATGTCAAATAAATAGCTTTTTCACAGGGGAGTCCTTGGGTGGTAAAATACAAATCTTTAATTTTTTTTTTATTTTTTCATGAAAATCTTCACCTGCAAACTAACAAAAAGTGCCAACGTGTCCTCCATTATGCATACTACAGGATCATAGTCATTTACTCAAATTAAATTAGATTTTTGAATGTTTTTTGATGGGAGTCAGATTTTCATGGCACACCGGGCCTCTGAGGCCCGGTTTCAGGGTTTACGTAGGGTTCCATTTCCTTGTGGATGAGGGTTAAACAAGTAAGGCATATTAATACATTCATTCCAAACGCTCCATACTTACGTCGTGCTTATTTTCTTGACATTGCATTTCTTTCTGGAAGTCTATGACAGCGGAGAAACCAAGTGAATCGAATGTTTTGAGATCAGTTTTCTCTGAAAGAAGAACGTAATGTTAGCGATCATTTCCAATGAAACTATCTGTCTACGGAGATCGATGCAACTTCGCAGGGACTCTCACTGAATGCAACCAGATTTAAAGATTTACGCTCCTCCTGTTGCTTCCGACATACTAGTATAATCACCAATTTTTCTGTATAATACTCAGGAAGAGGCTTGTAATCTTTTAAACTGATTGCATTCATCGAAAATCCCTGCGTTGTTGGATCCATCTATGTAGACCGACAGTTTCAATATAAACATGTCCTTAGATACCCACAGAGAGTCAGATATACTTCTTCTACGGTTTTCCAAACAACGAAACAATGCATTATGTGAACTTAAGTTTTATGAATTTAATATAAGTAGGATAAATGTAGAAAGAACCTGGGCTAACATTAAGATGAACGTATTAAGACAACGTTCCGTACCTTTTTTTATTATAATAAACACAGATAAAATATCAAGAACACGAATTTAGCCCCCTTTCTCTTTAATAAGTAGACTGAATATACACAGGTAAAACAAATGTTATTGGTTTGACGATTAAATGGATCATTTCATGCAATTTTAGGAGCCCCCCCGAACCCCCCCCCCCCCCCCAGTTTAAAATTAAGGCAAAACCCATATCGTTTACAACATACCGTGTTCATCACACTCTTGAATTTCTACCCCTATCGCACTGGACACTTGACACAGCCAACAAAAAACGTTTCGTCCAAAGCCGTATCCGATATTAGAGTGGTAATAGGTTATGGACACAGGCTTCGTCTGGCAAAGTGTGACTAGGTCTTCGTCAGCAAAACGACTGCATCGGTCGTCTTCTAGGCCTCTCACGGGGTCATGACTCCCCCCAGGACCGATGCAAGGACGCCCTGGATAACGCTCCGGGGGTTCATATAGCATCATACAATTGGGCAACGACAGAACCTTTTCCAGAATTCCCGACGAAGTTGTTGCATTCACAAACGTTTCAAATTGGGTTTCTTCGCAGACTACTTTCGGCGTCCATGCTTGGAAATTCGCGACCCCATGACAGGCGGCACAATAGATGTTCTTAAAAGTGATATTGTGATCTTTTGACGAGACAGGTAGAATAACATCCATTCTGGTTGAGAGGCCGCTAAACTCACACTTCGCCCTAACTGCTGCGTCGGCCCATTGCTGCGGACACGACTTAACAACCCAGTAGTACTTGCTGTAAACGTCCAAAATTTCTCGAGTCCCCTGTAACCAACACTCCGTGTCATTCGGCTCAATTGAAATTACTGTTAGCTTTATGTCTCTGCAGTAACGATCGAGTGGCCAGCAACAATCATCAAAAATAGAACAAACGTCGTCACAGTAGCACGTCACCCGTACAACATCATTGGAGACAATACTATTCGTTGTACTGCCCTCCCTAAGGACGCAAAATGGTCGATTAACGGGGTAAGTGAACTGCAGCAATTCAGATAACGGGCTTACTGTTGTTGGTAAATCGACTGGATACAATAGCAATGAAATATCTGAACGATTTTCAACCCCTATCCCACTGAAACTTTCTGATGATGATGATGATGTGTGGTTGTGCCAGGATAGGGTTCCAGCCAAAGTTAAGGTTTCATTTAGTCCTCGAAATCTCTTCTTGCTTTCTGCGTTGTTCCTCCGAAAACGTTTTTTCACGTTTGACTTCTCGCTTTTGCTTGAGATAAGTTTCTCTCCATCAGTTTCTGGCATATTTTTGTGAGAATCTGTATGAGGTAAAGGTTTCCTATCTTCACTCAAAATTGCCAATGAAATACCTTTTGCTCTTTCATTCATCAAATAAGGTTGTAAAACATACTGATTCCAGGTAATAAAGAAAACAACTAAAGTAACTATTGGAAAGTTCATGTTGAACATTTTGTCTGCCTTTCTGACAGATCCGAGAATGAGCTGCGTTTGGCTCTCTCTCTCTCACTCTCTACACATATATATACCGCATGCAGTGGGCTCAAGTATATATCTCCGGTAACGCCTTGTAATTCTTTTTGCTCAGTGCGTCCCTGCTCCCTCTAATACGTTTAAAAAAGTAGGAGCTTCAGCCAATCAGGAGGTTTTTCCTTTTAACATTGGTTTTAGATTGATGTTTTTCCCCACAAAAAGACGGGGCTTCTAATAGTAAGTATACGATGCACCTAAGATCATAGCATTAAATGCAACAGCATGCGTTGCTTCTTTACAAGACAATGGCAGCATTGTTTTTTAAATTCAATCCAAATATGCATGTTTTGGTTGGTCTGTTTATGGAATATCACTATTGCCTGCTCTCTGCCTTTTCAATTGTGAAGATGCATCAGTACTGACAAGTATAATTTTTAACTAGCCATTCATACAGGGCAAAATACCTGATATCTTGAACAGCATGTGAGCCATTTCTATACATGTATCAAGGACACGAATTTTAAACAGATTAGGCTTTTCTGACTCGAACCTCAGATTTGTGTGCACAAATGCTCAAATGAACAAATCCAGCCACGAGTTAAGTACCCGATGTAAAATTACTCGCCATTTGCTAAGCGTTTCATTACACCAACCGCTTGTCCGCCTCTCTACCCCTTCGGTGAGTTCGAGGATTAGAGTGTGAATGTTAGCAAAAGAAAAGAGATCATTGTAGACAACAGAATGAATAAAATGAATTAAAACTTTCGGTGAAATTGTTATATAAGTCTGTAATTTCGAAAAAGAGAAAAAAAACTTTAAGAAGAAGAAGAAAAAAAACAAAAAAAAAAAAAAAAAAAAAAAACAGGTACTAACTACTAGTACTAAATGTAGGAATGGATTTATTAACCAATGGTAAAGATGTTCCCCCAGGAAAATCCATTTCAAGGCCAAAATAAATTATTGGTGGTTGGGTATTGGATGGTCTCTAGTTTTTTTAGATAATCTCGAGATAATCTCGTTGTTTGTTTGGTTTGTAATAGAAAGTTCGCCTCTGTAAAATCCATAATTAATAGATCGGACAAAACACACTCCTAAATGTGTCCAAAAGAATTTGAAAAACTCACTCGTAAAACCATGTGGACCAGGAGTTTTGTCATTTTTACCAGCCCGAAGAGCAGTGCTAGCTTCAGTGTGTGTTATCTCTCCTTCCAATTTTTGTGAAATAATTTTGTTGATTTTATTAACCTTCAAGTCTTTTAAATTAACTTCAAGATCTACGTCTTCGAGGATGCCATCTTTAGATGCATTTAGCTGTTTATAGTAGTTTTGAATTTCAGTAAGAATCTCTGTCTGGTCTGTTACTATTTTATCTTCGTTTTTCCGCACCTTTGTTACCATTTTATTAATATAGTTCCTTTTTTTCCAAGGCACAAAAGTATTTACTAGGTTTTTCGCCATATTCGACCCACCTAACGCGAGAGCGTAATATATTTCCCTTTAGTTTTTCTTTTCTAAGTTCCTCTAAGTCCCTTTATAGTGCGCTAATTCACCAATGTTTTCATTATTTTGGTTTTCCAGTTTACTTATTTTTTCTATTAAACCATCCTCATCCTTCTCCCTCTCTCTTTTCTTTGCCGATGCATAGGATATAGAATGCCTACTTATATTTAAAAGAAGTTGCTCAAAAAACCGCTGGTCATCAATAATAAACGATATTATCTCATCGTCAATATTTGGCACAGCTTCTCTTAAAAAGGGGTGGCCGCATATTGCATTTTCGTTTCATTAATTACTTTACATATTACATCTCTATACTCTTTATCTTTAAGAAGCAGATTATTATGTTTCCAAAAGCCTTTACCGCGTTTAAACGAAGTGAATTTCACAGTCATTTCTACTATAGCATGGTCTGTTCTATATCCTGGCTTGATTGCAGTGTTTTTAATCATATTGAGTAATTCAGAAGAAATTAAAAAGAAGTCGATTCTAGCTTTTAAACTGGATTGCTAGCCCTCCATGTTTACCTTTTCGCTTTACCATCTTTTCATCTCCATGGATCATTTAAACTGTGTTTAGTTTATATCCCAAGTACCTTCTCTCTGGCTCTAGGATTATTCATAATTATAGCAATTTAATACTGGCTCCTGTACAAGGTTCCAATCACCTGTAATCAACAGAAAATCATAGAATGAGTTACATATACACTGATCAATATACTCATAAAATTCTGGCGTTTCCTTGTTTGGACCATATATATTAATTAGCAGTAAATTAAATTTTTCAAACAGTAAAATTGCTAAAATAAGAATACTTCCAGTAGCATCACATTTACTTGTTAACACTTTATACTCAAAAGTATTACTAAACAATATCGCCATGCCTCGAGCATTTGATCTGCCTGGGCTTAAATAAATCTCAAAACCCCAACAACTTCTTGTGTTTTTCTATCTTTCCGTGAAATGCATATCTTGTAAACAAATTAGAGAATATTGTTCCCCTAAGTATTCAAACACATCTTTTCCTTTCTCCACACATCCTAGTCCCCTGCAATTCAGGGTGGCTATTCTTAGTTCTATCATTACTTGAAGAAAAAATATACATATGTTTCTTTGATATTAAAGGGATAATAACTCTTCGTTTCGGCCAAAAAATGAATTTTCCTGGAGTAAACAACACATTTCCCATACTTACCAATGGTTAATGAATCCATTTTTACATTCAAAGTTAGTCCCTGTTTTTTTTTTCTAAAAAGTTTGGTTTTTTGTTAAAATCTCTTAAGAGATTTTAACAGGGTATAGCCATCAATGGAGGTCATGTGGTCTAAAGACAAGCTAAGATATCAGAATAATAGCTATAACTTGTGGTAAAAAAATATTGTATTTCTATGAGTTATTCACAACGTTTTAATTGTGAAATATGGATCTCATATGAAGAGTTATTATCCCTTTAAATCAATTTATTCTCGTTCACTAGTATTAACTCCATCAGAATGCGGAGACTCTTCCATTTGCTGTCGTCCCTCACGCGGTTGAAAAAGTCTTGTAACAAAACGCGTAATGTCGCTATATGTTGGCGCGCTTTGATGGGCTTGCCAGTGATCCATGGCTTTCTGGATTGCAGGGCGTGGCCGTATTCCGGGGTATGCTGCGTGGATTTCCAATGCGTGGATCCTCCTGGGGGTGGTATTTTCCATTAAATAGATGTCCAACAACATACAGTTTATCTCTTATCATGGTTGTCCTGCGTCCTTGTACCTTCATCTGTCTTTGAATCGGGTACAGTATGCGGCGCCTCTCCTCTGTCGCTGGAGGGAACTGATCGTTAATACTGAACGGTTTTCCCTTAAGGAGGCCAGCGTTATCTTTCACAAGCTTTAGGTCCTGCTGCTGTACAAAACGCGCTACAATCGGCCGCAGCCTATCGCCCCACCTCTTTCCGAATCTGTGTACGTTAGGCTTACATGTAGCAAACACTATCGGTATTTTTAGCTGCGCGGCTACAAATTCGCGAAGAGCTTTTTCATTGTCCTCGCCTACTGTTTCGCCTGCGATACCTTTGAAGATCAAGTTATATTTCATCGATCTGCACTGTAGATCTTCCAATGTTCTTTCCATTGCTTCCTCCACACTTTTCATTTTTATATTTAAGTCATCTGTTTTTCTGACCCAAATGTTACTGAGCGCTCAAATTCATTGCTTCGCTTTTCTGGGTTGGATACTTTACTGTTCATTTTTGTCACTGCAGTATCCATCCTATCAATCTTTTTCTCCATTTTCTCAGGTTTGCTTAGCTTATTTATTATAACTTTATTGCTCTCTATCTGAACGATTTTTTTTTTAGTCTCAGACATACACGTACAGTTTTTTTATTATTAGTACAGCTCCCGAAGATTCTCCGCTTTTGGTGTTAGAATTTGGAATAAATACAGGGGAGCCCGCATGCAATACGCTGTTTGTCTCTTTTATAGTGTCACTTATCGACTGCATTGTTTCTGTGGGGCTTTTACTTTGGCATTCGCATTCTCTCTTTGCCTGATTGTTACATAATATATTGTGATTAGTACTCACTCTTTGGATCTGACCTTTCTTCTCACTGTATGTATCTGAGTCTTTTTGGCATCAACATTCATTAAAAGTTGACAAGCTTTACCTTATATTTTCTTCCCCACCTGATCCTTGTTCATTTATACACATTATGCAGTGTTCAAATTCTTCAAAAAAGCTTCCTGAATACTCATTTTGAAGACTGTCACATAGCCCTGGGTGTATCCTGTTTGCGTACCCCGATGACCTCGACCTCCTATCCAAATGTGCTCATCTTATTAATCATGTACAAATGTGTTTTAGATTTATTTTTAAATAGAGCCCAACATTTTTTTTTTGGTATTGCAGAGGGCGAACGGTAACCTTTAGTACAATTTAGAACTATGATACAGCTAGTCAAAATTCGACTTTCAAGAGGGGACTATTGGTGTGTTTTTTTACAGAAGCCAAAGGAGTAATCATGACCCTGCAACTGTGGAAAATGAAAACAAATAGGAAAAGATATTAAAGACAAAAAAAAAAAAAAAAGACGTGATTTCAACAGGGTTGTCAGGCCAGCAGACAGCAGTTTCGAAAGGCTGGTTCATTTTCTGAAAAAAAATGGACCTTTTAACAATGAACCCTTTTTATCCTGTATCAAATTTTATCAAGAATGGACTTTTTCCCGGCAAAAGGGCGTTTCTTTCTAACCCCCCCCTCCCCGAACCTCCCTGGCAACGGGCCTGGTAATGGATTTCCGTTATTGTACATTATATTCTTATCTCAAACGTTTTGCGGTCGCCGGAAACATTAAACACCTAATATATAAAGGTGCAAATAGGACTACTCTGTGACAAAGTTGTGTCACCATATGTGTCATAGCGTTTGAGGTATTTTAATTGTTGTGCACCTGAAAAGGGTTGTACCGTTCTATCGTTCTACGCGGCACTCTCCTTGTGTAATCATTACATTTAGTTGTGTGAAGTTGGGTATTGGTGTTTTGGGATTTTCAGTGTGGGCAAATTGCATCATGTTGCTCGCTAGCAGTGAAAGGATGGAAACTGATGCCTTATCAAATAATTTGGAATGATAAAAGATTGTCGAATAACAACTCGATGGAGCTAAAGATTATTATAAAGTGTCCCAAGAGACACTGTAAAGAGCAGCATCGGGTTGCTGCATGCAGCGCCAGACTTCATTATGTGCAAAGAAAAGATCCATCCACTGGTTATAATTCAACCACAGTCTTCTCAATGTGGTTCAGGTTTGTCTGATTTCCAAAGCTAAGACACAATAGAATACATCATAGGCATATCGCGTTTGCAACCGTAGACGCAGAGATTCATCAATTATCACTTAAATATCACTGATCTAAACTCTGATAGAAAGAAAAGATAAAAATCGAGCTGTGGAACACATGAAATGTGCTAGTATTTTTATGTTCACTGTCAACGGATGAATTGACAGATAAAATGATGTACTGAAATGCGATCAACGGGATTTCAGCATTTTTGGAATATCCCTGGTCTCCGCCAAAACATTTTCTGTGAATCCTTTGCAACTGTGTTCCTCATTTAAAAAATGCCTGTCATTCTAACTATCAAAGAAATGCGATATGGCGATTTTCAAAGGTTCATTTACTCACTAGTAGAAGTGCTTTAGCAGTCAAACCTGTATGGATATGTAAAGTGATATTAAGGGGGTTAAATACATAAGGGATCAAGCGCCCTTTAAATTGTTGACGATATATTGGTGTCAGAAAATGTATAAATTTAGATGGGCTTTGCTCGTCTTGGCCATAAACTCCGCTCTTTTCCTCTTATCACGGCACAAAAGTTCTTACAAAATGTAGGTACTTACTCTCTAACAGAGCCTACCTTGGGGTTTTCAACCTTCATACTCACATTATGGTGATTTGTTAAATTTATGCAGCGTTGGTGAAAACATTTTAGTAATATCCAGTTTCTACCCTTTGCTCAAGAGCTTCTATTGCGATTGCATGACTGTCAGTGCCCCCCCCCCCCATATATATAATTTACAAAATTCATTAAAGGTGATATAAATCTAATAAAATGATAAATCTTATTCTTGAGAATTTCTCACCCTTTCGCACTAATAACAGTTAATATTTAGATGTCGTCAAAAACAGACTTCGGATAAATCACAAATCTGTCCATATCCTTTAAGGTCGACAAACCAGGGTACACATTTGTAAAAATTAACAACTTCAATATGATATGTTTAGAAGGTACAGGTAAGCAGTGATATTATAATAATAATCAACAAACATACACGTTTTTGATATATTAATCATATAAAGAAAAATGCATCTATTTTAAGGGGTTGACAGATAACTTCAGACTACAGATAGGTCCGGGTAGGACAATACATAGATTATCACTAGATTACTGTCAGCTTAGCCGGCTCGCCTTCTAAAAGCCGTCCGTCCCGCCTACTTAAAGCTATAAGAGGGTCATCAACTACCGTGCGCGCTCGGCTGACATCAGTTTAGCGTGAACCCCCAGGGAGTTAGGTCGATCTAGATCTATGGGCATGCAGTTATAGACACCATTCCCAGATATATGATCGATCAAACTAGATCGACCTAACTCCCTGGGGGGGGGGGGGGGGGGTCACGCTTAATAGCTGTCAGCCCAGCAGGCACGAAAGTTAATTACCCCTTTACAGCTTGTAGCTGGCAGGACGGACATTTAAGCCCACTAAATGGGAGGTTATCGCAATTATTCTGAAATCTGTGGTTGCCATACATGGTTACCCACTCTTAACAGATTATTACATTAAAAAAATGGCTAAGTGTAAACATCGGAACAGATTCATGAATCATTGGTAAGTAAATGAAAACTGTGGTTTACCCCAGGGGATTTTTTTTTTTTTGGTCAAAATGAACATGTTTTATCCACAAAACGCTGCAAAGAAATCAAGGGTTAAAACTGCATGCACACCACAGACTAATTACATTTCAGTACTATTGCCAATATCTTAAAAAATGACATTCATATAAACACCAAATCATGATTCATTTTACTGGAAATTTAAAGTATGGAAAGCGACGGACAGAATATTCTCATGATATATGTTAATTATTAAAAAGTAACTGTTATGTTAAAGTTATGATTAATAACAACAACTTGAACCTGAATTAAAGTTGAAATGTAAATTTATTTTGAGATTTTTTTTTTATCATTATGTATTATAAAGAATTAATGAAATGAAAGGCTGAAACAGTGCTTCATGTAGTTTGTTTAAAATGATATAAACTGCTTTGTTAATGCTATCTTAAACCAAATTATATATATATATATATATATATATATATATATATATATATATATATATTTTTTTTTTTTTTTTTTTCCTTCTTCTTTTGCAGGTTCATGATGGCAGATAAGGCTGGGATAACTGAAGGTCAAACTCACCAAGGTCAAGACTACCAAGGGAAACCTGCGGTGGTAAAAAGGACAAGATAAATACACCCAAAAGTGTAGCAAATGATTAAATCATAAAACAAACTAACCTTGAGTGAATCATCAACTGGGTCTCAGGGATACCAGAAATGTAAAGGTCAAGGTCAGGGTAAAATTCAAGGTCAGGTTAAAGGTCAGCAAAAATCCACAGACCCAAATGTTCCTTAAATGTCAAAAGCACAGTTAAGGGCAGACAAGAGAGCACTAAAATGGTAAATTGTGCCAGTTTACTATTATTATTTTTAGACCTCTCTAGGTAAGTATTGGATGTAGAGAATTTTTCTTCAATTTACAAAAAAATCCATTTATATAGTTTAATCTATTTATATAGTGCGATGGCAGTCAAGCTTATCATATTTCTTTAATTTAAATTCATTGAAAAGTATGTAATTAAAAAAATGATTTCTTAAAGAAATGTGAAAAAAGTATAATGAAAATACTTATGTTGATGGTTAAATTCTGTTGAAGGCCAAAAAAAAAAAAAAAAAAAAAAAACGGCAGTACAAAGGAAAAATGTTATCCGTGTCACTGACCATCTCAAGGTTGACGATGCAGCCACACAAAAGAAATGTGCCAAGAAATTAGAAGGACAACAGGGGCCCCAGAGGGCCGCCACTGAGAGGAAAGTTCAGGCACCTCCAGCAGTTTGAGAGAGACACCTCCCTGACTCAGGCTATTCAGTGAGTATAAGCATGGATACAGTGTAGCGACGTGATCAGAGAGGAACCAATTTAGGCTTGAATTCAGGCTAACTTGTGATGATTTATATTATTTATCAGTTTAAGGTGATAGTTTTATATAAATCACGATTTAATAATCTTTTCTTTGCCATGAATCTAATTGTGCATGAAGACAACCGAAAGACTTTTTTTTCAAAAATAATAACAACTAGCTTGCTAATATAACTAGCTTGTAAATATAATTGATGAATTCTGTAAACAGCTTGAATTTTAGGAGTAATATTATTGTTTTTTCTAGATTCTCAAACAATGTTGCTATCCACCCCGCCATCTTAAAGCTGGGCTTACAGTATGTAGAGTGGGTGGTGTGTGGGTCCAACGTAAGGTGTAAGCAGGTGGGTATGGATTGGGTCTCTCTTGAACAGTGGCTCACTCTTGTTTTTTTTTAATATTAATATGAAATAGATACATGACAGTACGAGAAATATAAATAAAGCAGAGTGAAATCCCAGATATACCAAGAATGAAAACTCAGATACGTCCTTTTTTCACTTTAATGTGTTAAAAATTATCCAAAAAGATTTCTCTGCATGCATTTATGTTTTACAAATTCTTCACAGGTCATTCGTGACTATACCACACCTCCCCATAAGGAGCCAGCCAGAGATTTAGATAACAGAATAAAGCCATCCATAAGGTAGGACAAGACTGACAGGTCTACTTGCTATATACTTGATGCGTTCCTTTGTGTAAGACAATAACTACCTTGACGAAGTCACTATTTTCTGTAATTGCTTGATTATTTTCCCCCAGGTTGAAAGTTCCGAAATAGACTGAGTCCGACACATATTTTGGCTCTTTGAATTTCAGTAACTATATTTTCAAAGTCCCACTTGGTTATCATCCTTAATATATATATATATATATATATATCTCCGCACGAAAACGAAGTAGGTACTCCAGCGCAGTAGATACTGCAATCATGCTGCAAACATGCTTCAAATCTGCTTCAATTTGGGAGCTAATTAGCATATTTGAAACATGCTTCTATCATGCTGCTAATCTACTGCATTAATGCTCCTCTCTGTACAAACC